GAGTTTCACAGTCAAAAGCTCTGTCTCCCTTGGTTCTCAGCTTTGTATGTTGAATAACCAGTAGGCCCTGATCAAATGATCGCAGGGACCTCCTAGTGAATGAAATGAATGCATGAATAACAATCTCCAGTTCAGAACGAGATACAATAGGGCTTGATTTAGAAATGTGTCTTACGCTGCTGGCACGCCATTTGATTCTACTAAATTGGAAACAAAAGGTGCCTCCTACCACATCAGCGTTAATACAAGATGTATTGAGACACTTGCAGCTGGAAAGAATTAAACTCCTACTAAAGGGGAGGTTGGAGGAATTCCATTCAACCTGGCAACCTTTTATAGATCTCTTCAATACTGTACAGATATAAAAGATCACTGAGCCTCATTGGTAGTTCGATAAATAGCATCCTCTGTCCAACGTTCTTTCGTTGTTTGTTGTTGCTTTTTTGTTTTGTTTTGTTTTTACTTTGTTTAATTCTTATTGTATATATGTAATCATTTATATTTGAATCTTAGTTGCCTTTATGATAAAGAACACTGGAAAACCAAATAAAGAGATTTGAGAAATGTGTCTTAAATAATAGAAGCAGGACTGAAACAGAGATTTGATATGAACATCCAAAGTAAGAGCAGAGTCACAAATTGAAGAATGGTCCAAAATACCTTCAACCAGAATCCAGACTGTCATTGGAAGTGATAGGAATCAATTAGAGGCTGTTATTTCTGCAAAAGGAGTATCTACTAAATATTGATGTAAATTTTCTGTTGGGGTGCCTAAATTTATACAGCTGGCTAATTTAGTTTAAATAACTATTGATAGAAACTTCATTTCACTGTGTTGAGGTTTGTTTTAAAGATTACGAAATGGTAATCTTAAACCTCTAGTTTAAGGTCTGTTGACAACTAGGGATGGGTACCGGTATCTGGTGCCATGATGGCACCAGTTCTGACATAAACGGTAGTAACCAGACCGAAAAGCAGCGCACATTTCAGTGCTTTATTTTGGTGCTTTTTTTCCTGAGATGTCATACAAGTTATTTCATGATATTTATATTATGAAAAGCAGATTTTTGACAATTTAAGGTTTTTACATTTTTAGATAAAATAAACAC